CCATTCCCCGCGCCCCTCTCCCTCCCCCTTCCCTGTATTCTTAGGTTGTTATTAGGTTATAGCTTTCATATAAAAGGTTTAAATTAATTTCATAATAGGGGTGTGTACATTGGATACTTTTTCTTCCATTCCTGTTTTATTCCTATTTTTTAGTGAGAGGTGGGTCTCACTCTTGCTTAGGCTAGTCTCAAACCCCTGAGCTCAAGCCGTCCACCCACCTTTGCCTCCGAGAGTAAAGAATGTTTTAATAAAAAAATAGTTTTAAGGGACAAAGAGATGGCAAAGCTTGAGAATTTAATTAGATTTCTTATTGGATCCTGCACAAGTGTGCACTTGAATGCACAAACCACCATTGCAACTTATGACCATAATTTGACTTTTTTTTTTGGAGACAGAGCTTCACGTTGTCGCCCTGGGTAGAGTGCCGTGGCATCACAGCTCACAGTAACCTCCAACTCCTAGGCTCAAGCGATTCTCCTGCCTCTGCCTTCCAAGTAGCTGGGACTACAGGCGCCTGTCACAACACCTGGCTGTTTTTTGGTTGCAGCCGTCACTGTTGTTTGGCAGGCCCGGGCTGGATTCAAACCCATCAGCTCAGGTGTATGTGGCTGGCGCCTCAGCTGCTTGAGCCACAGGCACTGAGCCCATAATTTGACTTCTAAGTAGACTTAGTAAGGAGATAATTTTTTTTCATTTTTATTTTATTTTATTTATTTATTTTTCAGTTTTGGGCCGGAGGCTGGGTTTGAACCCGCCACCTCTGGCATATGGAGCCAGCGCCCTACCCTTTTGAGCCACAGGTGCTGCCCGTAAGGAGATAATTTTAAAATCAACCTGAGCTCCCTCTAATAAACTTGCATCATGATTTTTTGTTATATTTAAAATTTCAGACAGTCTGAGCCTGAAGAAATCATTTTCAGAGTTATCGACTAGCAGACTCTGGACATTTTTTTTCTCCAACTTACGAGAAGGCATTTAATAATTATTTTTATGGCTAACTATGAAAATTCTTTGTCACATGGAAGTTATTTATTTTTGGCTCGGTGCCTATGGCTCAAGTGGCTAAGTCGCCAGTCACATACACTTAAGGTGGTGGGTTCAAATCCAGCCCAGGCCCACCAAACAACAATGATGGCTGCAACCAAAAAATAGCCGGGCATTGTGGCAGGTGCCTGTAGTCCCAGCTACTTGGGAGGCTGGGGCAAGAGACTCGCTTGCACCCAGGAGTTGGAGGTTGCTGTGAGCTGTGATGACACAGCACTCTACCCAGGGGGACAGCTTGAGGCTCTGTCTCAAAAAAAAAAAGAAAAGAAAATTATTTATTTTTGTATCTCTTTTGCTTGATAATACCTGGTACACAGAAGGCATGCAATAAGCATTTGTAAAAAATATATAGTCCTTAATTTTCTGAGGGGCTCATAGACTTATAAACCTGAGAATCTGATGAAGGCTAAGAACAGTTATCCATGTCCCATCTGTGCCCTACCCATATTCTCTCAGCCCACCCCAAAGGTTATTTTCACAGACACTATCAACATTCTTTTTATTCTCCCTGAACTGCATTGCTCTTACTTTGTGGAATGTGGTAGTAAGCCTGGGACTCCAGAGAGACCTCACGCTTTAAGTCAATAAAAAGAGTAATATTGCTCATTCCTGGTGGACTCTCATGGTTTCTTCCCAATCATAAAGCTTTCTGGGCTTTCCTACAGTGCCCACTAAGATGTAGATCTTTACTTGCTGTGTTCACACAGAGATAAGAATACTTACTACAACTGTAGCTAATTTGTTCCATTCCCTTCTGGTTTCTACATGGGTCACTATTCTATTTCATCCTTTTGGGAATCTGTAATCTTTGATATCTATATCCCAAAGTCCACTCTGGTATCATTTGGAAACTTTATGGCTTGCTCTCTAGTTCTCTGACAATCAGCACAACCTTGATATCTTTTTCTTTTTTTGGACAGGGTCTCACTCTGTCCCTGGGGTTGAGTGTCATGGTGTCATAGCTCAGAGCAACCTCAAACTCTTAGGCTTAAGCCAATCATGCCTAAGCTTCCTGAGTAGCTGGAACAATAGGCATGTGCCACTACAACACAAGGCTAATTTTTCTATTTTTAGTAGAGATGGGGTCTTGCTCTTGCTCAGCCTGGCCTTGAACTCCTGAGCTCAAGCAGTCCACCTGCCTCAGCCTCCCAGAATACCAGGATCACAGGCATAAGCCACCATGCCCAGCCTTATCTCAGCTTCTAATCAGCTACACAAAGTGCTAACATTAGGGTCACCAATACCGATTTCCTAATTGCAGTGCACAATAGCTTTTTAGCTTTGCCCACATATGGGTCAGAACATTTGTTTTGTTTTTTTGAGACAGAGTCTCACTACGTTGCCCTCAGTAGAGTGATGTGGAGTCGCAGCTCACAGCAGCCTCAAACTCTTGGGCTTACGAGATTCTCTTGCCTCAGCCTCCCAAGTAGCTGGGATTACAGGTACCCACCACAACACCTGGCTGGGTTTTTGGTTATCGTTGTCATTGTTGTTTAGCAGACCTTGGCCAGGTTCGAACCTACCAGCCCCAGTGCAGTGGCCAGTGCCCTAAGCACTTAACTATGGGCACCAAGCCCAGAACATATGATTGTGCATGATTATTTGTCTTATGTGTGGTTGAATAAATATGTTTTTGTATATACCTGTGAATATGGTTTTGTGGGTGCGAGTGTGTAAGCAACCAGAGCTCAGGTCTGGTCTTTTTTTTTTTTTT